ATAAATGAAACCCAAAAAAAATTGGCTAGAAAAATGGAAATATATCAATCCAGAGTGATGGCCAATAACAATAATAATCAAAGCAAAATTTTATTTTATTAATTGTAATAATTATATTACTATTAATAAATTTAATCAAATAAACCAAATTTATGCAATAAGCAAGCAAATCTTGTTGTTGCCATTAAAGTCAAAGAACCTGATAAAATTCTCAGTGGATATAATCACGTCAAATAGAAAAAGCCAACTATAGTCATACATATATGAATTGCAATGATAGCTTTATTTTTTTATTGAAAAATAGAACTATTCAAAGTTCTATAAAAAATACTTGCTATTTATAATAATTCTTATATGGGTCCAGTCTTTAATGGTGGTTTGGCTATGGAAGATAATTTTTCTAAAACAATAAATATCATTGTTGGCATAATCCTTTATTTGTCGTATATGAAAAATTGTTAAGAGATATATGGTTTTGTCTTACTTAAAATGAGTTTTTTTTTAGAAAATTTTTTCTTTAGATGATCCCTTAAAATAAAAGTTTGACCTTTATTTTATAGTTGATAAAAATCGTAGTTACTTAATTATTACTATTTTTTTGAGTACAGTTGTTAAACAAAATATTTATTTTAGAAATTGCATTTAATGTACTATATAACAGATAATATAGTAAATATTAAATGAGTTTTTAGTAATTATTATTACCATAATAAAGTGTATACATCTAGCAAAAAATCAGAAACTCTGTTAGATGTTGCTAATTGAATTCTTAGGAAAATTCAATATTCCAATAAAGTAAAAGAAAATCTTTGAATTTTCTGATGATTGAGCTGTAAGGCTCATGACCATGAACTAACTAAAAGGGTAGTTCGCTGGTTGAGCTGTAAGGCTCATGACCACAAACTATTGAGATAAGAAAGGTGGTAAGGCTCACAACCGTTATTTGAGAAAAAAAATTTGTCACTCCAATATCTTGTGTTTTATAGCAAATTGTAAAAATTTCATTAGCTAAACAGACATTTGCAATTAAACGAACTGACACTGACCTGTAATCGTCTATATATGTGCTTCTTTTCAAATTCATTATAAGAGTTTATAATACTATTTTTAAAATCTTTTATAGCATCTTGATAATTCACAGGAAAATTCATATAAGCAGTTAGCCAGTTGAGAATAGCTACTTCATAAAAAGGTGTACGTTTAAAGTATTCCATGCGATATTGGTGATTAATAATTAGAATCCAATTTAGAATCCAATTTACAATGCCAACTACTGTGATATTGGTTGTCACAGTAGCGTAGTAAATTATTCTGAACTAATGCTAAATGATGCTTTTAAAACTTTAGCTATTACATAATCAATATCATCTATACTTAAATTTAAAATATTTGACGCATGCAAAAACTTAAT